CCGGCTCCCCGGGCTGCTGCGGCGGCGGCGCCGCCGGGCTCCCCGCGGGACCGGCCAAGTAGAGGCCCGGGCACGGGTCACTCAGGTAGACCTGGCGGGCGCTGCGCAGTACCAGCGAGACCAGCAGGTTCTTGTGCAGTTTGATGCCGCCGCGCTGGACCCGCGAGTTGTAGATCTTGCCCAGGGAGATGCTGACGATACGATGAGCCTCCAGCTTGAACTCCATCCTGCCTCCTTTTCGCAGGGCTGCCTCGGAGGTGACGGGAGAGAGCCCGGCTCACGTTCGGAAACAGGGAGGGGACGAGAGGCGTCGACAAGTCCGGTCCGGGGGTGGACCTTCGACACCTGAAGACTCTGAAAAGAAACGACTCCCGTGACGCGCTCACTGGCTCCCGCTCCCACTCACGACAGACAACAGCCCGCTCCCAGGTCCGGTCGCTAACTGAGGGCGGCCCGCACTCCCGGCGCCTTATATAGGCCCCTCGCCCGCCAATCGCGAAGGGCCGCCAACCGTTCCGGGGCTGGGCGGCGCGCCCTCGTGCGCCGCGAGCGACCAATCGGAGGCCGAGGAGGGGCGCCAGGGCCATTCGAACGTTAGTCCCGCGGAGCAGTCTCTTAAAGGGGGCGACGACGTGCGGCGGTGGCCGCACGGGACGGGTCGGGGCTTGTTCTCCGCCTGCGGGTCACTGAGCGGAGGCTTAGCCACAGTGTGGTTTGTAGTTAAAGATTCTGGCTTGTGCGCTGGCTTGCCAGAACCAGAGGGAACTAAACCACTGGAACTTTCATCTGAGTATCCCCCCCCCCCGCCCCCGTAACAAATAGTATTACCACAAGGTATTTAGCAGATACTGATTTTGGATGAGTGCCTTGCCGTCCTGGAGTCACAAACACTCTTAGCATCTGTTAAATCTAAGAAAGAAAAAGAGAGTTCTAAAAGTTACTAAGTTTTTAGCTGCTTATCAAGGAATTGTGACTAGACACCAAGTTATTGGTTCTCTACTAAAGCAGTCATCTATCACTTTGTTCTCTATGAAACAAACACACTTGTCACAGGTTACAGTGAAAGGTGGTACAGGTTCTCCACAGTGATTTTTCAACACAAGAACTGACTAGTCCACCTTGGAAGAATCTAGCAAGTTCTAAAAATACAAATAGAGAAGTCTTGTGTTCCCATCATGATGTCATAATTTTATTTTGTGTCAAGGTAAAAATATAGGGGAAGAGTGTTCCAGACTTTTCTGGTAAGTCAACAACTTAGTCCATCTACCAATCCTTAGTATGTGGCCTTAGGGCAGAATCACCACAGGATTGTCCAGGACTGGAGTTCAGTTCCTGGATTCCTGGAGAGTCAGTTTGATTTAGTCGATCTAAGCTCCACAGACCTGCCTGATGATTCTGATAAAGAACCTCGGGAGCTTTAGTTTCTCCACCTCTGAGAGGGAGAAATCACATACACATCTGTTCTATTATGCAGAAGATAACTAAAATATTCACCCATAAAAAAGAATGAAATCTTGCCATTTGCAACCACATGCATGAAGCTAGAGAGTATAATGCTAAGTAAGTCAGTCAGAGAAAGACAAATACCATATGATTTCATTAATAAGTGGAATTTAAGAAATAAATAAGCAAAGGAAAAAGAAACCAAGAAACAGACTGTCTTTATTCTATAATTATTTTCTTAAAAAATTTTTTTTAATATTTATTATTTTGAAAGAGATAGAGCACAAGCAAGGGAAGGACAGAGAGAGAGAGGGAGATACAGAATACAAAGCAGGCTCTAGGCTCTGAGCTGTTGGGACAGAGTCTGACACAGGGCTCGAACTCATGAACCTCAAGATCATAACCTGAGCCAAAGTCGGATGCTTAACTGATGGAGCCACCCAGGTGCTCCTATAATTTTTTTTAACGTTTATTTATTTTTGAGAAAGAGACAGACAGACTGTGAGTGGGGGAAGGGCAGATAGAGGGAGACAGAGAATCTGAAGCAGGCTCCAGGCTCTGAGCTGTCAGCACAGAGCCCAAATCGGGGCTCCAACTCATGAACTGTGAGATCATGACCTGAGCTGAAGTCGGACGCCCAACCAACTAAGCCACCCAGGTGCCCCAAGAAATAGACCCTTAACTATACAGAACAAACTGATGGTTACCAGAGGAGAGGTGGGGTGGGGGTGGGGAGTGATGGGTGAAATAGGTGATGAGGATTAAGGAGTGCACGTGTGCGATGAGCACTGGGTGATATAGGGAATTGTTGAATCACTGTATTACACACTGAAACTAATATAACACTGTTATGGTAACTCTACTGGAATTAAAATAAAATGTAAAAAAAAAAAAAATGGCAACTCTCAGCCACAATCTGAATCCTAAAACTGAGCACAGCTTTCTTGGAATCCACCTGGAATAGTTGGCCTGATCCTGCCCCAGGGTTTGGCCAAGTTGGATATTTAATTAGGAGAAATAGTAAAAGGTAGGATTGATAATGGTCAATTCACAATCAAGAGTCTTCCAAAGGACGTGATGGCTCAGTAACATTACCCATGCCACAACTTATTAATGGTAACTGAGGAACCAGTCCATGAGACCCAGAGCTCCTCCCCTCTAGGAATTCTCAGCTTGCATAAAGGAGATAAAATAGTAACATGAATAATTACAAAAGCATGTCGTATATTTTGAGTAAGAATGTGAAATTTTTTTTCTTCTATGTTCCTTTGAGAGCTATTAGTCACTTTTTAAAAAATGTTTATTTTTTTAATGTTTATTCATTTTTGAGAGACAGAGAGAGACAGAGCAGGGAAGGGACAGAGAGAGGGAGACACAGAATCCGAAACAGGCTCCAGGCTCTGGGCTGTCAGCACAGAGCCCGTTGCGGGGCTCGAACTCACAAACTGCGAGATCCTGACCTGAGCCGAAGTCGGATGCTCAACCGACTGAGCCACCCAGGCGCCCCAAAAAATGTTTAATTTTTGAGAGAGAGAGAGGGACAGAGAGAGGGAGACACAGAATCCAAAGCAGGTTCCGGGCTCTGAGCTATCAGCACAGAGCCTGATGCACACTTAACTCAGGAACCACAAAATCATGACCTGAGCCAGAGGTGGAAGCTTAACGAACTGAACCACCCAGGGGCTTAGGGAGCTATGAGTCACTTTAAAACGCTTGAGTGCAGGCTTTGAAGGGAAGCTTCCTGAGTTGGAATCCCAGCTCCACTTTTCACTTGCTATGTGACCTTTGGAAAGTTATTTTGCCTCTCTGTGCTTTGGTCTTTCCCATCTTTTGATTTTTTTTTTTTTTTAATGTTTATTTTTGAGAGAGACAGAGAGAGACAAAGCGTGAGTGGGGGAGGGGCAGAGAGAGAGGGAGACTGATAATCCCAAGCAGGCTCCAGAGCCTGATGTGGGGCTCAAACCCACAAACCATGAGATCATGACCTGAGCCGAAGTCAAACATTTAACCGCCTGAGCCACCCAGGCGCCCCTGGTCTTTTCCATCTTAAACTAGAGATAATAATAGTTTCCACCTCTTAGAGTTTTTGTGAGGACAAAACAAGGTAACACACGTGAAGCTCTTAGAATAGCCTGGCATATAAGAAATTATCAACATATGTTAGAAAATACCTCCCCCCATGAGACCTTAGAGTGGGCAAAGAGGCCAGGGAGGGAAGAAAGAGACAAGAGAAAGAAGTTGTACTTGAAGAGGGTGTTGAAAAAGCCTGAGGTAGGATCCACAAGTTGTAAGCAGCAGAGAAATAGTCTGGTATAGGGAACATATCATTTTGTAGGTGTGTCAGACGCCTATAGTAAGCGGCAACAGCTAGGAACAGAGGCTAGAACTTCAGGACAGTGGGTCATGAACGCCTCAATGAAGAGATGGGGCCACAGGGAGCTTACCTAAGGTAGTTGAGTAAGAAAACCACAGATAGATTCTAGAACAGTCAGTGCTTTTAATTACAACTGAGCTATAAAGAGGATCACTTAATTATAAAGCTCTTGTGAGAGTTTAGGCAAGGGTCCTGAAGGCCTGAACTAGGTGGAGGTAGGAAGAATGAAAAACACAAAAACACAAGATCGGAACTGTAGTCAAGATTTGGGATGCCCCCCCCCACACACACACACACCCACCCAAGTCACTGATAGAGAAAGCATTAGGTGAAGCCATCCTGATCCACATGAGCTGGGAGTTTCGCCATCTGCCACTGCACTTCTTTTCCTTCAGCGTTGCTCTCATCACTTGCTCCTGTCATGCTCAGGGCCCCTGTCAAATTGTGCTGTCATCGGAGGCAGGAGCCCATCTCATGTGTGTAGCCAGAAGATAGTGAGAAAATTTAACAAATGGACGACACGGGCACTAACCACCAGAACAGAATCCTGGAGGCCTTTACAGTGCCGGGGGTTAGGGGAGCTCCTGCAGGAGGCGCTGAGTGGCTAGGAAGGGGTGTACTCAGGAGCCTGGGGCAGAGATTCTGCCAACTGGCATGGAACCATTTCAATATTTTAACAACTGGGGTGGCCACACCTGTGTATACTGAGTGATTGATTACGCACTTGATGATCGAATTTCTAATAATGATGTTGTCTACCAGGCACTGTGCTAGTCACTTTAGAGACATTATTTATGATCTTTATAAAGTTCAGAAAGTACATCTCATTATCTCTCTTTACAGATAAGGGAACTAGGACTCTGAAAGATCTCGTCGTCACACAGCTATAGGTGGAGAACCTATATAACTCTACATAACTCTAAACCTAGAGTGCAGGGCTCTGGGACTAGGTGACCTCATTCTACCTATTACTTGCTGTGTGACCTTTGGAAAGTTATTTCACATCTGAGTAAAATGAGAAAATCATGCCCTAGTTTTGTAACATGTGCAAGTTATTCAACCTTTCTGTGCCTCAGTCCCCTATTATGTAAAATGGAAATAATAACAATACCTAAGGTGCTTACTATAGCCCCCAGCACCATACAGGCACTAAGTCAGTCTACTTACGGTTATTGTTAGTACTGTACAAGTGCCTAGTTCAGTACCCAGCACATAGTTAGCACTTGTTGAATTTTTTTTTCAACGTTTATTTATTTTTGGGACAGAGAGAGACAGAGCATGAACGGGGGAGGGGCAGAGAGAGAGGGAGACACAGAATCGGAAACAGGCTCCAGGCTCTGAGCCATCAGCCCAGAGACCGACGCGGGGCTCGAATTCACGGACCGCGAGATCGTGACCTGGCTGAAGTCGGACGCTTAACCGACTGCGCCACCCAGGCGCCCCAGCACTTGTTGAATTTTAAACACTTTTTCTACAACACCTCATAATAGGTGCTTAGTAAATATCTACTGACTTGAAACAGCATGACCACTACTATCATCAGGACTTCCTCTAATCCTGAGACAACAAAATGGAACATTGAGAACTCATGTCTGGAGGGCATGGGCTCTTATGTTCTGCAAGCTTTATCTCCACCTA